TTGAGGGCTCCATGCCACTAATCAAGAAATGAAGCGCACACTTCTGTCTGAACCGGGCCCACAGCTAGCTGGTCCCAGAGGGGAAAGAAGTAAGGTGAGGAAGGATGTTTGTGGGGAAGGGAGAACAGCCGGTCCCCTTCCCTCGTGAGCCACTCCCCCTGGGGCTGCCGAGGCAGCCACACCACATGGAACTGTCACCTGTGAGCAGTGTTTGATTTGTGCAGGTCCGCACCCGGCCTGTTCTGGGAAAGCTCTTTGGTAACCACACACAAAGGTCCCTTTAATTTTTAATTGAATCCTAAGAGGTCTGTTTTTTTTTTTTCTTTCTTCTGGAGGTGCCAGCTTAGAGTAATTATTAGAATCCCCAACAGGGCTAATCAAAGATTCATAGAAAATAAAGATGGATGAAGAAACCTCACCCAATAGGCTGCTGTCGCTTTACTCTTCTGGCTTTACAGATCCAGGGCAGAGGTCACAGTTCTTACCGCGCTGAGCTATTAATAGGAGTCTTGAAATCAATCCCTGCCTGGTGAGATAACAGACACTGATTGTTTTGCCCGGGTATCTCTTCTTCGAGGGCCAAGACACCGCCCGTTTTCATCAGCTGTTTATCAAAATCAGATTAGTAAAGGAATAATCGGATCAGAATTGTTTACGCCCGCCTGCCGCAGCCTTGAGTTACAAACGGCTTTCCTGTGCGGCCTGACCTGAAGGAACCACCCTGACCTGCAGATGAACCTGCCTTCTATTCCCTGCACCTTGTTCTGAACCAGTAATTCCCCGAAGACCACAAGCATTAATGCTGCCTGTTGACTGCTGGAGGCAGGTGAGGCCAGGTCCTAGGGGCTGAGGAGATGCTGGGGAGATCCTATCGTGGTGATAAGTCCTAAGTCTGTAATAGGTTGCTCTGAATGCTCCCCAGCCGAAGACAATGGAGCTTTTAGTAGGTTCTGGAGTTACGTAAGACCGCGCTTTCCCAACAAAGAGCGGGCAGGACACCCAGCCAAAGGGCTGAGCACAGGAGGCAGTGTGGGCTGGTGGTTCTAGGGAGAGATGTGGGGGCCAGGACTTCCTGGGTTCAGCTACCAGCCGAGAGTCTGACTCAGGGGGAAGCTCAGCCAAGTCTCTTGGCTCGAGGCAGAGGCTGTAAAGCCAGGGAGACAAAACCACAGGTCTGTGCTCAGGGACTGGGGAAAACACATTTTGGGAATTAAAGAAAAAAAAAAAAGATCACTCTGTTAAGTTACAATTTGGGAGTTTTTCCTGCTCATTGGCTGGCATCCTCCTCTGGGCCGGTGCGGTTCCAGGCCAGTGTCTGAGGGTGTTCTGTGGAAGCTGACGGGAAGCCCTGGGGTCTGGGGAAAGGCAGTCAACCTCGGTGTGCTGTCTGAGTGCCCAGGGAGCCAGGGCCAGGAGCTCCAGCGTGAATTCTCCCCTCTGTTCATCTTCCCTTCACAGTAAAAGCCCTCTGGACCTGTGTGAGGAAAAGTCCCTTCCTTTTCGGTCTCTGGAAGTCCCTTTCCATAGGTCTGAGCGAGGTGGCACTCAGTTATAGCCAGCAGACTCTTCAGCGCAGGCTGACAGTACAGCCAAGGCTCACAGAAAATAGTCTTGGGGCACAGCTGGGGCTCTGTCAAAACCTTGGTCAGACAGAGGCTACCTGCACTGATGGGTTTGAAGCAGTTGGCCAGGTTTCCACTCTGGCAATCGTGATTCAGATCAGATCAGAAAACTTTGCTGGCCTAGTACTGGGTGGCTTGCATTTATGGGAATCTCTATACTAGCCACTAACATTTGAGTTCATAATACCTCAACAGAAGCTCACAGTAAGGAGAGGCAGGTTTGCTGTGTAGTGTGTGTATGGGGTGTGTGTGGATGTGTGTGGATGTGGGGGGGGGTGTGGGTGGGTAGGTTCGTGCCTGGCGTGTGATCTCAGGAAGACTGCAGAAAGCCCACAGAGAAGAGGAAGTACACAAGCAGAGTGCACCTTGGCCATTTTCCCCAGAGTTGCCTAGAGCAGCTTTGAAATGGGGTGGTAGGTGGAAGGTTTGTCCCGGGGTCATTGCTCTAACCCAAGCCAGGCTGGACAGAACCCAGGTTTCTCTGTGGTTCCCTCATGCAGCTCCCAAATGTGCTCGATGTCACTCCTCTACCTTTTTCTTCTTCTGGTTAAACTCAGTGTTCGAAATCCCAAGCTTCCTGTATTAAAACGAAGGAAGCCATCTCTCCTTTGAGAACTATTTCACATCTTTATGCCATTTTGCTATAGTCGAAACCAAACATTACCGCAAGGTGAAAGCTACGGGAAGAGAAACTGTCTGAGAAGACCCCGCCTTTGGGTGAGCGTATACAGATAGGGCCTGAGTGGACTAACCTAAGCTACCTCAGCCAAGTCCTTTCCCATCAGGTCTTTCTGAATGTGACATTTCATTCCCCTTGCCTCGCCCACGTCAGGTCTGCCTCGGCCACCAACAGACTCATGCATAGAAAGATGGAGGAAATAACTTGGTGGATTTTGTAAGATTGCAATCATCTCTGGTCACGGTGCTCAGCCCTCAAGTCAGCCTCTCTCTGGAAGCCCACATGATTAGGCAGAGACAACACTGGCGGCGTTTCTGGGCAGAAAAGTCTAGGAAGTTCAAAAGAGTAAAAGAAGCATCTCACCTGTTTCCAGGGCCTCAGGGGGCTCCTCCCCTCTTATTCTGCAGTCTCCTACTCAGTTGTGAAGGACCAGATCACCATGCACAGACAAGACTCCGGGGCTGCTCTGCCACCACAGTCACAGAGGATGGTCCCACCAAAACTTGAAGTCCTGTTATCTTTGCATTTGGAGTGCTGACATGACCTCTGCTTTCCCCAACAGTAATGTGATTGTATGTCACAATCCCTTGGGTTAAGAATTCTTCTACTGCTCTTCCCCACCAGAAACAACTGCCTTTAAGTTCCCAGGCTTTTCAAGGGATCACTCCACACGTATAAATATTTGCTTGGAAAGACAGAATGAATGTATCGTTGTCTCAGAGCAGTTTGACCTTGCTTACACTTTGAATTTTTAAAAATGCATGGTAATATATGTCTGATATTTTACAACTACTAGCTTATGTCCAAGTTACGCCTGTAGTTAGATGTGGGCAATAGGCCCATGGCCATGAAAAGTATCATAGGCTACACCAGCCAGCCACAGAAGGAAGAAAGCGTGTACTGACGTTTCTTGGGTTGGTGCTATTTCCTCCTCTCACGTCCTCCATGACGCTGTGAAGCAGTTTGATTTTTCCATAATTTACATACGCAGAAACTAAAGCCGAATGGCTTGTCCCAGTGTCACAGCAATAAGTGGTGGCCAGACTTCCAACCCTGGGACCTTAACACTGAGGAATGCATGCAGCGGGAGTGCATTGGTACTTATCTCTTGCTCTTTGCGTTTTTTAGAGACTTTCCTACGTAAACAAAAAGAGGCAGTATGCAAAGGATAATGGACTCTTTCGTTGCCTCAGAGTTGGCAAGAGGAGGGCCTTGATCCAGATCTGAGCAGAGGAGGCCACCAGATAGCTACCTATTTACAACTGTGGAATATGAGGAGTGACTATCTTGTTTTTAGGCCGTCAGCTTTCTTTGACATTGATTGATAGACATTAGGGATTAGCATTCCAGGCACCTTTCAAAAGATTCCCTCCAGCTTGTGTTCTACCTGGGGACCAATGGCAACCTTGACCTCTGCCCTAATGCTGAGTGCAAAGCCAGATCGCCCGAGTCTAAACCGGTACCACGGCCAAGTTGGTTCTTGTCTGTTACCAACACGGGCTTTTTTTCATTCTTTTCATTTTCTCTAAATTGTATTTTTTTTAAGTTAGCATGGACAGTAATGTGTTTCATCGTGACCTTTAAAATATATATATTTTGTTTTGATTCATACCGATCCCACCCTGGCCACTGCCATATCCCACAACACTGTCCCCGTTTTCCTCTTCCTGGTCCCCTTCTCTACCCTTCCACATCCATGCCTTCCATCACTCCTACTCCCCTCCCCTGCCTCATTAAGGGTTCTTCTTCCAGAAATGATCCATTTCTCCTTTGATATTTCGCTCTTCTTTCATGTTGTGCTTTGGTTTGTTTGAGGCAGAGCCTCACTCTGTAGCCAGGCTGGCCTGACACTCACTGGTCTAGCTGGGTTTCAGGCTGAGGCAGTCTTCCTCAGCCTACCAAGGGCTAGCATTAAAGTTGTGGATCTCCATGCTTGGCATCAGTCCTTTTATTTGAAGGAGAGAGTGGCTGAATATGGGATTTTTTAACATTTATTTTTTTTAATTCATTTTACACTCCCTCCCAGCCCATCCCCCATCCACTCTTCCCAACAGGTAAAGCCTCCCATGGGGAGTCTACACACTTTGGCATATTAATTAGGGGCAGGGCCAAGCCCCTCCCCTCTGCATTAAGTCTCAGTATGGCATCCCCCTCCTAGGGAATGGGCTCTAACAAGCTAGCTCTTGTACCAGGGCTAGATCCTGGTTCTACTGCCAGAGGCCCCTCAGTTAGCCCAAGCTTCAAAACTAAATAAGAAGGCACAACCAGTGAAAACAGCTTAAAAAAAAGAAGAAGAAGAAATATTGTTCTCTTGGTAAATGGGAGGGGCAAGGGGGTACAAAAAATAGCTGTTTGCAGAAATAACGCTTATCAACACTTGATCTTTCATAGTGTTCAAGCATACCACTCTAACAAAAATTAAAAAGTTGTTCATTATTATTGATGTTTAAAAAAAGATCTTTTCTTCCTCCGTTACAGTCCTCTTTGAACTTTATTGAGCTGCACACACACACACACACACACACCACACACACACACAGAGGCAGTATTAATTTTTCTGAACCTGCCTTATTTCGCTTAACACAATGATCTCCAGTTTCTAAGCCAGGTCTCCGAAGCAAACACAAACAATTTCACACGCACCAGCTCACACGTCTCACATGGTCACTCTGAAACACACTCAACACCATGTCTTTGTGGATTATGAACAGTTTATTAATAAAGGAAACACATGCACCCCCTTTAAAAACAGATGTATAGAAACACTTCATCTTCTACTCTTGGCCTGCTCAAGGCCCGAGAAGGAAACTGCAGCACCAAATCACACAGACCCACGGTTCGGAAAGGGACAGTGCTCATGAGAGACAAGAAAATCAGAGACGTGAACTCATTTCGGTGGCTTCAGCACCAAGCATCTGGCCGGCACACAGACAGAGCTTGCACTGCACTGCTAAGCACACTGTGGGTTTTTAACCAGAGGAAAATCCAGTGGCGTGTGTATACAAATGCGAGCATGGAGCAAGAAGTCAGAGACGGTCGCCAGCAAGTACCAGGACCCAGTTCACGTCCACAAATGACGGGCAGCTTTCAAGTCCATTTCCGGTCGTCTTTCGGTGACCGCTCAACAACTGCTCCCCAATTCCTGCACCCCCCGAGAGCTTTGATCCAGTTTCTACAGCAATCTCATCGTGTACCGTATACTGCACGTAGAAGGAAGCAGAAGCGACTCCGGAGATTGCGTTGGACATGGATAGAAAACATGTACAGAACGGCATTCGCTGCGGAAACACGCTGGAAGGCACTCAATGAGGACATCTCAGCTCTCCATCCAAAGGAGGAACGTGAGGCCGCTACTTGACTACCGTTTCTAGGGCTGTAGAGTAGCTACGGTTCAGGCATGGCTCCAAGGTGCAGCCTACACCAGTTTGGACGGAGCTTGGGAGCTACAGATGATGGTCACACCAAGACACAGATCCGTTGAGTGGGCTCGGTTACAGCCTGTACACGCAGGCTGTCGTATTCCTATTCCAAGTGCTGCCAAGTCCTGGCCGTTTCTCTTCTTTGCAAAATCTTGATTCCTTTCATTCTCCTGAAGGAGGCTTGTGGAGGGGGCTGTGCAAACCTTGCTGTTTTAGGGTTTGGAAGGCACAGTCACCATCCTGGCTCCTTGACAGATTTGAAGTGTAACATTTTGCTAAGTGAGAAGCTGTGTGCCTGCTCCTTCTCTGTTGCCCTTCCTGCAGCTTCAATATTTGCAAAACAATGTCAAAATACTGCAAATCCAGCCCAAAGCCATTTGTTATTCATGCAACGCAATTCTTACACGTACCAGTGCACTTTAGCTAAGGGATCCATTCATTTGCTTTTGCTCCCTCTGTGCACTTACAATGTTCCCCCCTCTTTGGGGAGTTAAGAATAGTTTGATCATATCATAGCAAAATCCCCATTCTATGCAGACCATGCCTACTCCTGACTGTAAGAAAAGGAGAAACCTGCAGGCTAAAATTATTCCACCCTTTAAAATGCCCCGTGAGTCATTTGTATAGAGCAACCTAACTGTGTGGGGATCTTAATTTCTCATTAAAAGCAAACAAATGAACAAACAAACAAACAAAACCCCTGTTGGGTTTGCTGGTGAAGCTGGGAAAGGTGTCCTGTGTGCCCCGAGCACAGACGCCGGCATGTCTACAGCCTCGCTTTGAAAGGACGGCCTGTGAGATCCCAGATTCCCAATCATTTTACTACTTCTATAGAAAACTACCACAAGTCAATGTGAATTCAGTTATTCTTTACATGTGCGTAGGTGCAACCGTGTGTGTGATACATGTGGAGACCAGAGGTCAGCTGCCCACTGTGGTTTCTTTGTTTCTGTTTCTTGAGACAAACTCTTACCGGGGACCCAGAATTCAATCATTAAACAAAAGCTGGCTGGTCCAGGAGTCCCAGTGACCTACCTGTCTCTACCTGTCCCGGGATTACAAGCACATGTCACTAGGCTTGGCCTTTTCATCTGGGTTCTAAGGACCAGGTTCTCACTGGGGTGGCGAGCACTTGGCAAACCAAGCTATCTCCCCAGCCAGAGTTAGTTGTTCTTAACAAAGATGGAAGGGTTTTCAGGTCAGTATCTGGAGGGTTAGCGCTGTGCTCATGTAACATTGGAATCAGACCTCTGGTGGGATTTTACTCACTCTCCCCTCTGATGGGCCTTCCTGACCTGAGCCAGAAGGCGAGAAGGGCAGACTCAAAGCAAGTCAGACCATAAGGAGTGTTCCCGGAGTAAACTACAGAGACAGTCCTCCAGCTGACTAGCTTAACTCTTTCCTTTAGTTGGGTGTGTGTGTCACACGGGACTGACTCCATTGTCACCACTATGGACTCTCCACCGACTCTCAAGGGCAAAGGAGGACGTATGTTCCCTTTAAGGCAAATGTTCTGACTAGCAAAGGATATGAACAAGCAGCTGGACAGCAACCTTGGCTGCACTATGGCCCAGAACTTAGAGACACCGACTAAGAGAGACATTCTTGGTGGTTTTTACACGATGTGGGTTTCCCAGGTGAGCCCTTCCTCAATGCTTTTCTGAATTTATTAATGACAACAACACAGCAAAGTCCATCCCAACAAAGTACCCGTGTCTTAAGTCTAACGAAACTAAATCGACCCTCTACCATGGACATATCGCCAAATAATGACTTTGAGACATTTGTGTCTAGGTCCACTGTGAAAGTCAGCATTAGTAGGCCTTCATAGGAAGGCCAAGCTTATGAGAGCAATCACCAGTGCTACCCAATCACCATCAAAGGTGCTCAGCTGTCAAGGGAGACACTTTCCAGCACATCACCACTGCGCTAATAGTGTGTTTCCTATGACAAACGCTCTTGCTTTTTTCTCCAAGAGCATTGTAAATCACAAGTTCTTTTCTGCAGTGGTCGGCTTCCAGGAAAGTGCATCTTCAGACATCTTCCCTTGTGGCTATAATTTTTCTTAACACCAACAGCGCAGCCTAGTACAGCCAGAGCTCATTAAACAGACTTCTGAGCCCAATTATAGTGAACAATTAGCTGGAAATTAGTCTTAATGATTTGTTTTAGATGACAGACTGGAGGCATAATATAATTATTTTTAAACTTTCTACGGCGTTAAGAATGTAATGGAGCCACCTTTCAATGAGGTGAAGTGGGTAATCATGGGGGCCGTAGACAGTCACGGAGCGAGGCTGCGGATGACGGTCATGGAGGCTGCGGCCCACTCATGGGGCAGAGCTAAGGCAGCCAGAGGCTGCCCCCCAGCCCAGGTGTTTATAATTTACTCAGCCTTCCTGTTCTACTTTTTTTTTGAAAAAAGCTATTTCAGTCCTTAAGGACATCTCTGCTGTGAAAAAGAAAAGCATTCAGCACAGATATTCGTCTTCCCCCAGACCTTACCATTCTCGGAGACACCACGTGAATAATGGCAGGTGGTAGAAGGAACTAGAAGAATCTACAGTCTAGGAAGAGGCCTTGCACACCAGTTCCCACCTCACACTGGACGGACAGGAAAGGAGGCCACATGAGTCACAGATGAAAGAGTAAGGAGGAAGCCCCCAAGTGCAGCACCAGATCCCGGTCGCTCGGTCCTCCTCTGTCAATCCTTTGCCTTTCAGGGTTTCTCAAATCATTCTGAATCTTGTTTCTAATAAAAATCTTTTAAAAAATTAGATTTTTGTGTTTGTATGTGTATGGGGTACCCCATGCCCACAGAACTGGAGATACAGGGGGTGTGAACCACCCAACTTGGGTTCTGAAATTGAACTTGAACTCGGGTCCTCTGCAGGAGGACGTGTGAGCCATCTCTCCACGCTGTCCTCACAAGAACATTTTAGAATGTACCAATAGAGATCTAAAAAAAGTTCTTTTGTTTTCTGGAAAAAAATCTAAAAATATTCCCTTAGAGAATGAATAATTTGTTTTCAAAAGTTTGCCTTTAGAAAATTGCAATTTTTCACCTTGGCTAGTCAGGGTTCCGTTTCCGCCTCTACCCCTGAGCCAAGCTCTTAGGCCTTTTGTGGTTGAGCATCAGAAGCCATCAGGGAGCGCAGCCTAACACCCACATAAAAGACCTGATACCTGTGTTTCCACATCACAAAGCAAGCCAGCAAGCACACAAGGCCACAGAGCGGGTTGAGGACCATCTGAAGGATTAAGAACAGTTTGAAAGTGCCCGTGATGCTGGTACAGTCGGCCACATCCCGGTACACAAAGGTCCTGCTGAGAGGCTCCGAGGAAGGCAGTTTGCACAGGCAAGAATCCAGAGAACTCTCACAGGTAAACTGGGAAAGCAGGGAGCAGTGGTGGGCGGCGAATGCCACCGCCAGCGTGCAGACCACCAGGCCCAGGGCACTCAGCAGGAAGTAGAGCACCTGAAAGAGACAGAAAAAGCTTCGTGTTACAGAGAAGAGAGGTCCAACACAAAGCAGTCTAGCCCACGCTTAGCCCACGCTGTTTGGCTGAGGTCTCTGAGGCAAGGGCCATTCTCTTCTCAAGCCATAATACCAGGACACGGCTATACTTTACGCTGATTAGCGAGATGACTGCCTGATTTCTGCAGCAGGGTCTTGGGTACCCCAGGCTGACCCTGCCCAATCCTCGCGTGCCACCGTGGCCAGCTTCAGAGTTATTTACTGGGAAATCACGCTTATAGTGTTTGTCATGCCGCTGTTGGCTTTTCCCATGACCTGCAATGACCTCTTAGCTTGGCTGCAATGTTTATGTCTGGATTTAGCAGGTAACGTAAATGAATCCCAAACAAGCCCTCTCTCCCACATGATACACAGCACTTATTCTTTAAATTGAGAAAGGCCGGTCATAGGGCGGAAATGGGATTCAAAAGCAAAGGACAGGCTTCTGTACTACGAGCACCGTGTTCGTCAACACTATTGCACATTGATCAGCTAACGATGAAGGTTAAGGGGAAAGAGAATGCAATTGATGTAGCGTCTATCACACTACAGCCATGATGGTCAAGATCCCTAAGCGAATGGCCTCTGGGCAGAAACATGAGTGGTGGAGACAGGAGGCAGGTGGCCTAGACATTAGCTCTGGGGTTGGGTGTGCTAACTCTGCTCGGAAGGGATTGTATCTTCTTAAGCGTCTCTGATTCAGTTTACCTATATCTGGAACACTGTGACCGAAAGTCCTGGGTTCTCACTGACAGAGCCGCAATAAATTTTACTGTAACGGCACAAGAGATGCCCTTGTGACTGGGTTCACACACCAGACACAGCTCTCTCAGTGGCCTCCCTGCGTGGGGTCCAAACAAAGACCAGTTCCACAAACTTTGGGACTTGTGTCTACAGTTTGTAGGGCAAGATTTATACTTCCATAGAGAAAAAAGCTACCCCTTACTGGGAGCAATTCTGGTGTCTGACCAAGGCCAGCCTTAAAGCCTCCTCTCCTCAAGGGCTGGGATTTCAGGCAGGTACCACCACGCCTGGCTAAAACATCATGTATCTTAGAAACATAACAGGAACAATTTGTATTTGACATGATTATTTTTCCTTGGAGGGAAAGAATCAGATAAATGCAAAGTGGCATCATTATAAAATTTAGAAAGGGTTTATTTAATTTGTGATATTAAAAGGAGTGCTTTGGTGCTGTCCCCAGAACACTCGGTGACAATATTTTATGTAGACTTGGCGTGTTTAGACGTTAAAATATGGGTTTACTGTGTAAGGCTAACGGCATGGAATATTAAAAAATATCATGGATTATTCTGAAATCTTTGGGCTTGGTGATCGAGTTTAGATTCCTGGCATGAGAGCCAGTTTATGCTGGTCACGTGTGACCGCGAGCAGGAGGAACCCCAGGTAAAAGTGGCCATTTCCCTCTGGGTAGCCATCTGCTTAGCAGAACAGCCCCAGATTGAATTGTGGCCACACGTTTCTGGTTTTGGCCACCAGCAGCTAGATCCTGCTTTGCTCCTCTCTCCACCGCACACCTTGCCATGCGCACACGTTCACAATCACACCCGGATGCACACACATTCACAATCACACCCGGATGCACACACGTTCACAATCACATCCATATGCACACACGTTCACAATCACACCCGGATGCACACACGTTCACAATCACACCCGGATGCGCACACGTTCACGATCACACCCGGATGCGCACATGTCCTTAAACAGTAGGTATTTAGAACACTTACTATGGGGAAAGTCCATTTGTGACAATAAGACGTTTATCTACTTTAAAGAAAACAGGGCTGGCAGAACAGCTTCATGGGTAAGGGCTCCTGCCACCAAGTCTGACGACCTGAGTTCCATACCTGGGACCCACATGGTGGGAGGGTAAGCCAATGCCCCACAGAATGCACGCTGGCCTGTCTGCACACATCATAGCACACAGACACAGACAATAAATAAATAAAATTCAGTTTAAAAATGTTTAAATGATACATTTTGGCTCAGATACTTAGTTGCCAAAGACCATTTAACAAGGAGACAACGTGGAGGACATGAACCAGCAGCTGGGCCGGGCTGGGCCAGTCACCTAGTTATTTCACTCCTGAACGCTACCATGGGACTCCTCTGCTGGACATTTTAACCCATATCTCTTCGCCTGCAAATGTGGAGTGCTGCTTCTAACCTGACTTCCTGTTATCACTATGAGGACCAAGAGTCGACCTCTCCAAAGGGCACAGGAGTTAAACCAGCGGAGAAGGAGGCTGCCATTTCCAGGAATCCCCAGGACTGGCTCTACTATCTGCCTTGCTTTCTATCAGGTGGGCCGAACAATGTGGATTGGCTTGCAGAAGGGATAAACATTGACACAAACACAGAGGTTGCTGAATTGTAATCTAGCTCCTTAATACACAGAACCCAGCAGCTCAGGGACAGGGGCTGAGAAGTGCCACATCCCTCAGCAAAGTGACCTGGGCACCCATCGAAGTCAGGAGAGCTTCTTGTCTCTTGGGTCACAGCTGGACACTCAGGCCTGCTGGTGACATCGGCAAGGCCCCTGCCTCACAGCAACAGGCTCCTGCCTTGAAATCCACAGTTTAAAGCCAGGCGCCTTGTTTTGCCCACACAATGGGAATAAGATCAATGAAGGCAGGTGTGTGGAGTGACCTTGGGATGTGGCAGCAGACTGTGTGGGTGTCCCTGCAGAACATCCCTGGAGGCCAGCTCTGTGCTTATGTAATCCCCAGGCTTGCTCCTGCCTTGCCGTAATTGGAACCTGCTGAGGCTGTCTCAATTGGTGGCATGGGGTTGGGGGTGTCTGCTTGGATTTAATGATCTCCCCTCAGCAGCCCAAGCAAAGGCAGGAGAGCACCCCGAGGGCAGGTGGGAGGGTCCACACCCAGTGACCTTCCAGGTGCAGAGGCAGAGTCCAAACATGCTGGTGCTCTCCTGGTCTAAGAGCAGGGGAGTGTGCGCCTGCATGTATGTGTTTGTGCATGCGTGTGTGCATGTGGATGTGTGTGTCTGAGTTTTGATATGTTTGTGTACATGTGAGTGTGTGTTAGAGTGTGTTTGTATGTGTGACTGTGTGTTTGTGAGTGTGTGTTTAGTATGGGAAGTCCTTCTGTCTTTTATTAATGAATAAAGAAACTGGTTTGAGCCTATGGCAAAGACGAACAGAACTAGGTGGGGAAAACTAAACTGAATTCTGGGAGAAAGAGGGCGGAGTCAAGGAGAAGCCATGAAGCCACTGGGGAGGGGGTGACAGACGTGCTGAATCTTGCCGGTAAGCCACAGCCACGTGGCAATGCACAGATTAAGAGAAATGGATTAATTTAAGATGTAAGAGTTAGCCAGAAATACTCTTAAGCTATTGGCCAAACAGTATTGCAAATAACATAGTTTCTGTGTGGTTATTTCAGATCTAAGTGACCAGGAACAAATGAACAGGCTCCAACAACATGTGTTTATGTGTCTGAGTGTGTACATGAGTGTGTGTTTGTATATGTGTGTGTGTGTGTGTGTGTGTGTGTGAGCAGTGTGCATGTGTATGTGTTTGTGTGGGTATGTGGGTGTGGTTTTATGTGTATGAGTATGTGTTTGTATGTATGTGTGTGTGAACAGTGTGCATGTGTGAGTTTGTACCAGAAGACTCCATCACTGTAGCATGATGGTCTGGCCTGTTTACCAGGACACCCAATAAGAGAAAATAAACTAAAAGCTTGGCTCAGAGATAGAGGGTGAAAATGCAGCCATGCACTGACAAGCGCCTCCTGAAGGGCCATTTCACTCCCCTAAGACAACATGGGAAACATGGGGACATCAACTGTGTCCTGATGGGGCCTGGGCAAAGTTGTTTTAGGACAGAAGATGCCACAGAGAGAATCTTAGATTGCTGTGGCAGCAGTCTGGCTGAAGGTCCCCTTCCGGGAGGAGGAAGGGCCTCCTGTCTGTGTCTGTCCTGGCGAGAAAGGAGAGAGCTAATGAGGTCTTTCCGTGGGGTCTGCAGCCTGCCTGACACTGCCAGTCACTCTCTTTCTTTTCTTCCCTCCCCCTACCCCTCCCCCATATTTTTTAAGGTACAGTTGTTGAGATGCCTGGTAGGGGGACTCACTTAAAGTGAGGCTTCACCCCTGCTTTTTCAGGAATCACGAAGGGAGTGAGGAAGTCAAGGTGCTTTCTTCTTATCACCTTGCCTTGCTGTCTGGCCAGCCTCAGCATAAAAGAGCCTGAACTGGTGTCTGCTCTCTCTTGACTTCTTAAAAAAAAAAAATCCTTCTATCAAAAAAGTTCATTCCAGGGCTGGAGAGAGGGTTCAGGGGTTAAGAACCCTGCCGCTCTTCCAGAGGACCCAGGTTCAGTTCCCAGCACCCACATGATGAGGCACATCCATCCTCCAAATGAGCACATTGCTTTTTACACCACCATCTTCAAGTATCTTACATTTTCCCTCTCCTCCTCCTCCTCCTTTTGAGACAGGATTCCGTGTAGCTCAGCTGGTCTCCAACACCATATACGGCTGAGGCTGGCCTTGCACTTCCGATCCCCATCCCCGTTTCTACTTCATGAATGGAGAGATTACAGTCCTGTGCCACCAGGCTTCATTTATTCGGTGCTGGGAGTCAAATCTAGGGCTTTGCCCACATGAGGCAAGCGCCTTACCAACCAAGCTACATCCACTAACACATCCTATCTTGTATCTTTGTGGCTTTTAAATGACATTGTTGACTTACTCTTGGGTTTCATGCTTCCCGACTGTAGCAAAGAACACACCCAGGAGAAAAGTCAATGGCAGAGGGACAAGAGAAACATACAGAGCGGTCTCCATCCTTGGCGATGCCACTGAAACCCACCAGCCAGGCTGCTCAGGTTGCTCTACGCTCCTCCCCTCTGACGGAAGTGTTTAAGTATAATCTGCTGTGTACTTAAAGAGACTGCAACCAAATACGCTTTCCACTACAGGCAAAAAGTTCACAGCAACGAGAGACAGACAATTGCCAAGCCATCAAACCATGCACAGTTTCCCACAGACTCTTGGCAGGACCACTGACTTCACCCAATGCCCTTTCTGTCTCAGTGATCCCATCGACAAGAGGAAATACACTCAGATTGCTTTATTATTGAAATATTCCATCCAACTAACCCCAAGATATGGAAGTGGGCACCCAGAGAGACCTTTCCCTGCCCAAGGTTTTCCTTGAGCTGGTGACTGTTCAATACTCCTTTTAGGAGCATTGGAGTTCCCACTTCACGTGCTCTGGGAACCACCTAACTCATGGAAATTAGTAAAAGGACTGGCATTACCTCTGTGTCTGGACCAACATCCTCCTAAAACACATTTGGGCTGCCTGAAAGCGAAGTTTCTAGACTCATCAGACATGTAACACTGAGAAGCACTCTTTCATTTTGACTCACGTTTCTTCCTAAGTAATGATTCTGAAAAAAAGGAGAAACAACTTACTTTCATCGAAAACTGGACACATGTCCTCTCATCAACTTGGTATGACACACAGAGCATGAACAGCCCAAGGTAGGCCACCACGCAGACCTGCGGCAGGGAACACAGTACACGGAACATTATTGGAGCATGCACGTCAGGACTCCAGCAACTCTGAGCTCAGGGTACCTCCCCCAGGATCATCCACACTGCCAAGCCCTTCACTTCGTTTTATTTATTATGTGCTACAGGTTTTCACTAACACAATTTAAAGATGGAGTTTTACTATTTTGAATTCAGTACGTGTTTGCGTTTCCATGTGTGGATATGTGTACATGAATGCAGTGTCCTCAGAGGCCAGAAGAGGGCGTCAGATTCCTTGAAGCTGGCACTGTAGGCAGTTGTAAGTTATCTAACATGGGTGCTGGGAACCTAACTAGGGTAGGTCCTCTGCCTGAGATGTCTGCAATTTTTTGTTTGTTTGTTTTTGTTTTCCAAAACAGGGTTTCTCTGTGTAACAGCCCTAGCTTTCTGGAAGTAGCTCTTGTAGACCAAGCTGGCCTTGAGCTCACAGAGATCCGTTTGTCTCTGACTTCCCAGTGCTGGGATTTAAGGCATGCGCCACCACCACCCAACTTCATGCACTTTTAAACGTGGAACCATCTATCTAGCACAGTGGAATATGGTTTTAAAATAGCAAAGACATTATTTCAATTTATCCAGTATTTATTAAGTTCCTCTGTATTTGGTACTTTAGAAGAGAGTTCAGAAATTGAAGAAGACACCAGAAAATGGAAAACTCTCCCATGCTCTTGGGTCGGTAGAATTAACATAGTAAAAATGGCAATCTTATCAAAAGCAATTTATACATTCAATGCAATGCCTATCAAAATCCCAGCAAATTCCTTACAGACTTCGAAAGAACAATATTTAACTTCATATGGATAAACAACAATAACAACAACAAAAAAACCCAGGAAAGAACTTCTGGAGGCATCACAACCCCTAACTTCAAACTCTACTACAGAGCTACAGTGCTGAAAATGGCCTGGTAGGGGCATAAAAACAGACAAGAGGGCCAATGGAATCAAATTTAAGATATAAATTAATCCACACACCTACGAATACCTGATGCTTTACAAAGAAGCCAAAAATATAAAATAGAAACAAAGCATATTCAACACACGGTGCTGGCACAACTGGATATAAACATAGAGAAGAATGCAAATAAATACATATCTATTGCTATACATAAAACTTAAGTCCAAATAAATCAAAGACCTCAACATAAAATTAACCACATTGAACCTCATAGAAGAGAAAGCCGGCACAGGAAACCAGTTCCTAGATATAACCCCAGTAGCACAGACACTGGGAGAAACAATAAATGGGACCTCCTGAAACTGAGAAGCTTCCGTAAAGCAAAGGAGACGGTCAACAAGACAAACGACAGCCTACAGAATGGGAAAAGATCTTCACCAACCCCACATCAGACAGAGGTCTGATCTCCAGAATATACAAAGAACTCAAATACTTGACATCATCAAAAGAACAAATAATACAATAAAAAATGGGGTACAGACCTAAACAGAGAACTCTCAACAGAGGAATCTAAAATTACCGAAAGGCACTTAAGGAAATGTTCAACATCCTTAGCCATCAGAGAAATGCAAATAAAAATAGCTCTGAGATTCCATCTTACACCTGAAAGAATGGCCAAGACCAAAAACAGTGATGACAGCTTATGCTGCAGAGGATGCGGGGTAAGGGAAACACTCCTGCATTGCTGGTGGGAGTGTACAGCCCCTTTGGATTTCAGTATGAAATTTTCTCAGAAAATCAGGAAACAACCTTCCTCAAGACGGCTCAGAGGTTAAAAGCACTGGCTGCTCTTCCTAGAGGACCTGAGTTCAATTTCCAGCAACCACATGGTAGCTCACAACCATCTGTAATAAGATCCGGTGCCCTCTTCTGGAATGCAGGCAGAACAGTGTGTATATAACAGATAAATAAATAAATAAATCTTAAAAAAAAAGACCCAGAAATACCACACTCAATCATACCACAAAGACAAGTGCTCAACTATGTTTATAGCAGTACTATTTGTCATAACCAGAACCTGGAAACAAGCTAGATGGCCCTCAACTGAAGAATGGATAAGGAAAATGTGGTACATTTACACAGTGGAGTACCACACAGCAGAAAACAATAATGACCTCTTGAAATTTGCAGGCAAATGGATAAATCTAGGAAAAAAAACACATTGAGTGAGGTAATTCAGACCCAGAAAGACAAATATAATATGTCCTCACTCAGAAGTGGCTTTTGGACATTAAAAAAAAAAAACAGCCTACAGGCCACAACCACAGAGAAACTAGACAAAACAGAAGACCCTAAGAGAGACATAAATGGATATACACAGAAAGGTGAAAAAGACAATTTATTCCTGAGTAAACTGGGAGCATTGGGTTTATAGGAGAGAGGGTAAAGGGGAGAGGGGAAGAAGGGAGGGGAGTGGAGAAAAATGTATAGCTCAATAAAAACAATAAAAAAGAAAGATAACCTATAAAAAAAAGAAAAAATACCTCTAGGATCTCAGCTCAAAAAAATAGCTCAGAACATTTACAATGATAAATTGAATTTAATCTGATTAGTGTATATCCAGTAGAGTCTGAAATAAACTCTCTTTCTCTCTCTCTCTCTCTCTCTCTCTCTAAGGAAGAACATTTTTTGTTCCATGCCATTCAGAAAATTATAAAAGTTTAAAGAAATCTAATAGGAAAATATAGAAGGCTTCCCTTAAAATTTGGGCTTGAAAAGGTCTAATAATAGTGACAGCCACAGCAGCCTGTCTAAGGGCCTTCTGTGTCTTTCTTCATGTCATCATCACAGAACCCTGTCAAGTGGGTACTGGGGAAATGAGGGGAATCCAGGAACCACACTGCAGGCAGCCTGGTTGAAGGCAGATTCGGGAGCCACAGCCCAGCAATGGGACAGAGCAGAGCATCCTACCATAACAGACAGAGACCCACAGCATAACTGTAACAAAATGTAGCGTGGAAAAGGCAGGGTAGAGATAGAGGACAGAGGGGTGATGAGGAGGTGGCTGGGGTCTCCAGCAGGGAAGGGGCGTGGCTTCAGATACATTTCAGGAAGATGGGCAGAGATGTTTGCTGATACGATGAAGATCCTGAGACACTCTTTCAGCAATCTGAGCAAGACTGGTCATTAGTTGGGTGTGGTGGCCCCCTGCCTGTCATCTCAGCACTCTGGAGGTGAGGCAGGAGGACCACTGTAAGCTCCAGGTGATATTCTAGAGAGGCACACCATTGGAACCGTAAGCATGCCGGACTGAGGAGATGTGAACCGAAAACAAAGTAAGATGTGTGGAGGCGGTTCTGCAGCACAGGACACGCAGGTGCTGGCGGGGGAGGTGAGAGGCTGTGCAGGTCGTGCTAAGTCGGGAGAAAGTCCTTTTGAGCACTTTTTAAATTTATTATTATTATTTTACTTTTCTATTTGTCAAGACAGGGTTTCCCTGTATAGTTTTAGAGCCAGCCCTGAAACTCACTCTGTAGACCAGACTAGTCTCAAACTCACAGAGGTCCTCCTGCCTCTGCTTCCTGAGTGCCAGGATTAAAGGCATGTGCCTCTACCACCTGGCAAAATTTATTGTTTTATCAGCATGTATAATAATATACAACAACAGATCTTATCATGATATTTTCATACACACATATAGTAAGTCTTAATCACATTCATCTGTTGGCTGAGGTTTCTGTCCCGATTGGTTCCTGCAGTTGTAAAGGCCCAAAGAAACACATAGAGGTCTACATTAATCATAAAATGGTTGGCCTAGTAGCTCAGGCTTCTTATTAACTCTTATAACTTATATTAGCCCATTATTCTTGTCTGTATTAGCCACGTGGCTTAGTACCTTTTTTCTGTGAGGCAGTCACAGCTTGATTGCTCTGCGTCTGGGTGACGACTGCAGACTGAACCTTCCCTCTTCCCAGAATTCTCGCTGCCCCGTCTCTACTTCCTGCCTGTTTTCCCCACCTATACTTCCAGCCTGGCTACTGGCCAATGAGCGTTTATTGAAAATACAAGTGCCGGGCGGTGGTGGCACACACCTTTAATCCCAGAGCTCAGGAGGCAGAGGCAGGTGGATCTCTATGACTTCGAGGCCAACCTGTTCTACAAGAGCTAGTTCCAGGACAGGAACCAAAAACTACGGAGAAACCCTGTCTCGAAAAAAAAAAAAGAAAAAAAAAAGAAAGAAAGAAAAAGAAAATACAAGTGACATTTTCCCACAGCATTCATCCACTCCCCTCACCGCCCCTCTCATCCCAATGACCCCTTTCTCTTTGCAACCACCCCCTACTTCATTTTCATGTCTTTAAATACGTTTTTAAGAGTTCCAATCCAGCGCAAGTTTGACAAGGTTGTAGGGGTTCACTACCTACCCTCACATGGAGAGTCTGCAGAACTGAACCAAAGGAACCTTGTTTGGTGTTGTTTTCAGCAGCAGCAAGCCAGGCAGAATGTTCCCAACTCACTTCTGTCACATCCTGAAGTACTTGCCTGGGCTTTCGCCTCAGTTTCTGCCAACAGAATTGAGATTTCTCCCACATAATTGTCTTGGTCCGTGGAGGATGCTGGGCTGAAATCGCAATTGCCAAGCTCTCCCTCTTATTACGAGACACATACCTTCTAAGGAGCAAGACAGACTGGCCAGCATCTTAAACACCATCACAGACCCTCTACATCAAAGAGCCCCTCCTGTGTCACCTTCACTAGGCCTGAGCTCCAGCAAGACACTGCCTAGCATGGTCATGCCTGACCACATCAACAGCACGCCACCTATCCGTCCACTGACATCAGGGCTACATGCTCTACACTCGACTCTGGGAACTGAGAGACCAAAACCAGTCTCACTCCAGACTGACCCAGCCTGGTAGAGTCAAGTTGCAATACAATGGCGGCGTCAACATCATGTTAGCTGTGGGAATGTACAGATGGTGTAACTGACCTCATGGGGGCTGGGGGAAGCTCCCTGGAGGAAGATGGATGCTGGAATGTTTGTCATGTACCTATACGAGGCAGTTAAA